GTTTTATTCCCATCAGTTTTGAAAGAGAATTTTTCAGGATACATCAATCTAGGTTGTAAGTTGTTTTCTTTTAGGGCTAAAAATACCTCACTCCAGGTTCTCCTTGGCTTGAGGGTTTAGGTTGAAAAGTCTGTTGGGATTCTGATGGGCTTTCCTGTGCATGTGATTTGTTTCTCTTCACTAATTGCTTTCAGTACTGTGTACCTCTGTTGAGTTTCTGGGATCTTTATTATTATATGTCTAGGTATAGATTTTTTGTGATCGTAGCTATTTGGAGGCATATAAGCCTCCATATGTATGTCATATTCTTTTGCTTTGTTTGAGAAGTTTTCTGTCATTAATTCTGTGTGGGCTGGGGACTTAGCTCAGCAGTTTGGTGGCCTGTCTTGCAAGTGCAAAGACCCGAGTTCAATCCCCAGTGCCAAAAAAAAAAAATTCTGTGAACATTTTTTTTTATGTCACATGTACTTTCTCCTGCTTTTTCATTGGCTTCTATCTGACTTATATTATTCTTCTTTGCATCATCTAGGAGCTGTTGGATTGATTTCTTATATTCCCTCACATTTTTTTAGTGATCCCTCTTTTCATGATTACTGACCACTAACCTGTCTTCTATATCTGATATCCTGTCTTCAGATTGGTTGTGTCTGTTATGTATACTTTTGATAGAGTTTTTAATCTCCTGAATATCTGCTTGTATCTGTTTCATGGATTCCATTTCTTTCCTATGATGAGTATTCATGGCTTCTATCACTGTCCTGAGATCTTTGTGTTTTTTTTTTAACTGTTTCTGTTCCAGAGTCTCAAAAGATGTCTTTCTCTCAGCTCACCATCTCTGTAGTTATCTCAGAAATTATTTCTGTTTTGAATTTTGTAGAACCTCATTCACCTATTTTATTACTTCCTGTGCTATCAGTTCAGGATATCCAGGAGGTTGACATTCGACCTTATTTTCTTCAGAATTTGCCTGTGTTGAATAGGCAGCCATTGTTTGTGCTTATGCCTTGCTTGAATATCTTTTCATTACTTTTGTTGTTGTTGTTGTTGTTGTTGGTACTATCTTTGGATTAATTTCGTGGTTTATACTTCAATCTTCCTGTTATAGCTTGTTCTTAGGTTTTGAGTCCCTAATGACTCTAAGGCAATCTCATTTTCATTACATCAGGAGGTATAACTGATTAAGTCAATCACACCACCTTAGCCCAAGTAATTCAATCAGCAACACATTAGTATCAAGCACAGCTTATAAAATGACAATTTGTGGTATTTATTAATATATGAACTTTAACAGTGTGAATTAAATCAAAATCAAGTCTAGAGCCCAGAACAATGGCCTTTATGACTCCCTGTGTCTCTATGGTATAAATCCATGTGCCAGCCCAGCCAGGAGACCAGAGGCACATCTGGGAGGAGGCTTCAAGTGCCCATGTGGCTGTGCCTCTCACTGGTCCTTTGTCAAGGCCTGATGGAGTGGGGCTATGGTCCCAGGCAAGCTCTACATGGCTGAACCACAAACCATTCCTCTGCTGAGGACCCTCACTCCTTTTTTGATCTCTGTTTTGCTTCTTTTCCTAAAACATTAGTCTTTTTTTAAACTTATTTTACAAGGTTTTTATTAATATTTTTAAAATTTTTTATTAGTACATGTTTACTGTACATAATTGCTACTGCACATTCATTAGGGCAAATAGTTTTATGTGCATAACATATCTGTAGCTGGGTATGGTGGCACGTGCTTATAATCCCAGCACTTCAAAGGCTGAGACAGGAGAATTGCCACAAGGCCAGCCTGGGCAGCTTAGTGAGTTTAAGGTAAACCTGAACTGCATAATGAGAACCTGCCTCAGAAAACAACACAACAACAATGACCAATACACATCTCAATTTTTAAAAAAATTTACCCTTCCCTTCCACCCCTACCTTTTTAACCAGGATCATATTAATTCAATTATCTTCTAAATTTTTATAAAGTTAATTATCGTATACACAGATTATCAACCATATTAAAGGCAAAAATAAAAAAACATATAAGATAATTATACTAAATGAAGGTAAACTTTTAGATATTTTGTCTATCCTGGATTATAATAACTTTTTTTGTCTCTCTGTTTCTTCTTATCATTCTTCTTTACTGTACTTTACGTGTATATTGAGTATCTCATATAAGAGAAATCATCTGATATTTAAACTTGCACATTTGATTTACTTCACTTAACATTATAGTCTCAAGGTGCAACCAGTTTCCTAAAAATAACAAGTTTAGCCTCCTTAATAGCAGAATAGAATTCCACTGTGTATAACTCACACAATATGTTATCCATTTGTCTACTGGTGGACTAATAGGCTGCTTCCAAGATTTAGCTATTATGAATTGTTTGCGTATGAGAATAGGTATGCAAATATCAATGTAGTATGATATCTTTAACTCTTTTAGGAAAATACATGGAAGGGTAATAGCGCATTTTCGAGTGAAGGACCCAGAGCTGAAACACCCATAGGAGTGGGGAGGGGATGGTCCTATACAACCGTTTCCAGCCGTGGTCTGAGTGGACTCTCCTGTGGTGTCCATACCCCATAAAGGCACCCAGTCCACCACAGCCCAGAGCAAAAAGAAGGGGACACTAGCTTCCCCAGACCCTGCCAGCAGCGACACGGAATCAGAGCCACAGTCTGGCCAAATTACTGGGCCTAATGACAGTGGCAAATCCAATGTTATCAATTCTATGCTTTTTGTGTTTGTCTATTAAGCACAAAAAACAAGACCTAAAAAATTGTCAATACTAATTCATAATTCTGATGACCATAAGGATATTTAGAGTTGTACTGTAAAAGTTCATTTTCAAAAGATAATTGATAAGGAAGAGGGTGATTATGAAGGCATTCCTCATAGTAATTTATATGTATCCAGAACTGTCTACAGAGATAATACTTCTGTCTATCACATTAGTGGGAAGAAAAAGACATTTAAGGATGTTGGAAACCTTCTTCGAAGCCATGGAACTGACTTGGGCTATAATAGATTTTTAATGTTGCAGGGTGACATTGAACAAATAGCTATGATGAAACCAAAAGGCCAGAGTGAACACGAATAGGGTATGCTTGAATATTTAGAAGATATTTTTGGTTGTGGACAACTAAATGAACCTGTTAAAGTCCTGTGTTGAAGAGTTGAAATACTAAATGAGCTCAGAGGAGAGAAGTTAAACAGGGTTAAAATGGTGGAAAAGGAAAAGAATGCCTTAGAGGAAGAGAAAAACATAGCCATTTAATTTCTTACCTTGGGAAATGAAATATTTAGAAAAAAGAATCATGTTTGTCAGTATTACATTTACGATCTGCAGAAACAAATTGCTGAAATGGAGATACAAAAGGAAAAGAGTCATGAAGATACCAAAGAAATTAATGAGAGGAACAAAATATTGTCAAATGAAATGAAAGCTAAGAATAATGCTGTACATGATGTAGAGACAGAACTCAATAAAATTACAAAGTTTATTGAGAAAAGTAAACACAAATTTACGCAGCTGGATTTGGAAGATGTTCAAGTTAGAGAAATTTTAAAGCATGCTATTGGAAAAGCAAAAAAACTGGAGAAACAACTTCAAAAAGAAAAGGAAAATGTTGAAGAATTAAAAGTATACCTGCCAAGAGTGAGAACATCATAACTGAGTCAACAACTAGAAACAATTCTCTTGAAAAAGAAAAAGAGAGAGAAGATTTGAAAAAAAAAGGTAGTCATGGATAGTCTTAAACAGGAAACACAAGGGCTTCAGAAGGAAAAAGAAAGTCGAGAGAAAAAACTTATGTGTTTCAACAAATGAGTAAATGAAGCACGTTGGAAGATGGAGGTAGCCCAGTCAGAAATGGATATCTACCTCAGTCAATATAATACTACAGTATTTCAATTAAGTAAGGAAGCTCTGATTGTGGCTTCTGAGACTCTCAAAGAAAAGAAAGCTGCAATCAGAAATATAGAGGCAAAACTCCCTCAAACCAAAGAAAAATTAAAGGAGAAAAAAAAAAGAATTTAAAAGACTTACACAGGAAGAAATAAACTTCAAAAGTTTCGTTCATGATCTTTTCCAAAAAGTTGAAGAAGCAAAGGGGTCCTTAGCAATGAATCGAAGTAGAGGGAAAGTACTTGATGCAATAATTCAAGAAAAAAAATCTGGCATGATTCCAGGAATATATGGAAGACTGAGGGACCTAGGGGCCATTGATGAAAAATATGATGTGGCTATTACATCCTGTTTCAGTGCCTTAGACTACATTGTTGTGATTCTATAGATACAGCCCAAGAACATGTAAACTTCCTTAAAAGACAAAACATTGGAGTTGCAAACTTTATAGGTTTACATAAGATGGCAGTCTGGGCCAAAAGAAAAAAAGACCAAAATTCAAACTCCTGAAAATACTCCTCAGTTATTTGATTTAGTTAAAGTAAAAGATGAGGATATTCGCCAAGCTTTTTACTTTGCTTTACAAGATATCTTGGTAGCAGACAACTTGGTTCAAGCCACAAGAGTAGCATATCAAAAGGATAGAAGATGGAGGGTGGTAACTTTACAAGGGGAAATCATAGAACAGTCAGGTACAGTGCCTGGTGGTGGAAGCAAAGTAACGAAAGGAGGAATGGGTTCTTTGGTTGTTTAAATCTCTGAAGAAGAGGTAAATAATATGGAATCACAGTTGCAAAGAAAGTCTACAAAAGTAACACAAATCCAAGAATGAAAAGTAGCAGTACTTGAAGAAGCAGTAGTTAAGTTATGACATGATGAATGAGAAATGAAGACACTAGAAAAGTTTACTGCAAGCATCCAGCTATTATCAGAGCAAGAAGAATATTTGAGTGTACAAGTTAAGGAATTTGAAGCCCCTGACAAAAAAAAAAGCAGAAATTGCTAGAAGAAAATGTCAATATTTTCAAAACAGAATATGATGGTGTGGCGGAGAAAGCTGGTAAAGTAGAAGCTGAGGTTAGATAATTACACAATATCATCATGGAAATCAATATCCATAAACCCAAGTCCCAACAAGACGAACTTGATAAAATAAATAAGCATATAGATGAATTTGCTTCTGCTATTACTAAAGCCCAAGTAGCGATCAAGATTGCCATCAGAAATCTTAAAAAGCACAAAAGTCTGTGTTTCACACAGAGAAAGAAATAAAGGACACTGAGAAAAAAATACATGTCTTAACAGGAGAACTAAGCAGTCTTGAGAACAAAGCAACAGAGGTCATAAAAAATACAAATGCTGCAGAGGAGTCCTTACCAGAGATCCAGAAAAGAACATCATAATCTGCTTCAAGAACTAAAAGTTATTCGAGATAATGAACATGCCATTCAGAAAGACACACTTAGTATTATGTTAAAACTTGAACAAATGGATGGTCACATTACTGAACATAATTCTAAAATAAAATCTTGGTGAATAGAGAGTTTAAAAATATCACTGTATCCTATAGAAGATAATCCTGTTGAAGAGGTTTCTGTTCTAAGCCCAGAGGATCTTGAAACAATTAAGAATCCAGAATAACAAATAACAAATCAAATTGCACTCTTGGAAGCCCAGTGTCATGAAATGAAACCAAACCTTGGTGCCATTGCAGAGTATAAAAATAAAGAAGAATTATATTTACAGTGCGTTGCAGAATTGGATAAAATTACTTCGGAAAGAGATAATTTTAGACAGGTACATGAAGATCTTTGAAAACAGAGGCTTAATGAATTCATGGCAGGTTTTTATATAATAAAAACTAAGTTAAAAGAAAATTACAAAATGCTTACGCTGGGTGGAGATGCAGAGCTGGAACTTGTAGACAGCTTGGATCCTTTCTCTGAAGGAATCATGTTCAGTGTTCGACCACCTAAGAAAAGTTGGAAGAAGATCTTCAACCTTTCAGGAGGAGAGTAAACACTTGGTTCACTGGCATTAGAATTTGCTCTTCAACACTACAAACCTACTCCCCTTTACTTCATGGATGAGATTGATACAACCCTTGATTTTAAAAATGTGTCCATTGTTGCATTTTATATATATGAGCAAACAAAAAAAGGCCCAGTTCATAATAATTTCCCTTCAAAATAATATGTTTGAGATTTCTGACAGACTTATTAGAATTTAAAACACATACAATATAACAATGAGTGTTGCAGTAAAACCAAAAGAAATTGCATCTAAAGGACTTTGTTAAATATGTTTATACTGAAGATTCAACTTGAATTGGCATAGATTTAGTGTATTGAGTTACTGGTTTTCTACTGTAACAGTTATGAGTTGTATGAAATACAGAGTTGTAAGCTATGAAAAAAATAATAAGGGGAATAGCTGGATCAAATGGAATTGCTTAATCTCTCAAAGAGCCAAATTTTTGATTCACTGATTCTTTGTACTGATATTTTAGTCTCAATTTTAATGACTTCTCTGATCTTTCAAATTTTATTCATTTCACTAGCTTTGGGCTTAAAGTATTCTAGCTTTTCTAGGACCATGAGGTACATCATTAAGGTACATACTTGAGCTCACTCCTTTTTCTAATATGGAAATTCACCACTATAAACTTCTCTCTAAGGACTGCTTTCATTGTTTTCCATAGGCTCTGGTATGCCATACTGATGTAATCAATTGAATGTAAAAATTGTGGGATATCTTTTTGAAATTCATCTGTGACCCATTGATTATATAGGAGGGTATTAATTTCCATTTTTGCATAATTTCTTTGGGTTCTATTGATTTTGATTTCTGGATTCATTGCATTAATTCCTTTGTACTTAATCATGAATGATTTATGTATTAGTATGTGGTCAATTTTGGAGAATGCTTGATGTGTGCTGGGAGAACTCTGGTTCTATTAATGTTGGAAAGGACACTTTACAGACAAATATATCCATTTATTCAAAGGTTTGGTTCTATTCTTATATTTCTTTGTTAAATTTTTGTCCAGTTGATCTGTCTATTGGAGAGAGGGGTAATTGAATTCTTACAATTGCTTTAGTGTTTATATGATTTGTCATGCCTATTAATGTGTTTGTTTTATAAAATCGTCTGTGGTGGAACTTGGTGTGGGTATGTTTATAATTGTTAACTCTTCCTGCTGGATTTTTGCTTAACATACAATGATCTTTTTTGTCTCTTCTGATAAATCTTGGCTTGAAATCCACTTTGCCTGAACTAGGACAGCAATTCTGCTTTTTCTGGATTCCTATTGCATGGAATATTGCTTTTCCACTCTTTGATTTTTAAACTGTGAGTTTCTTTGTGAATTAAACATGTTTCTTGTAAACTGAAAATTGTTCAGTTTGCTTTTTTGATGCATTCTGCTGAACTGTGTCTTTTGGTTGGGGTATTTCAATAATTCCCATTAAGAGGTTTTCCTGAAATGTATTGACTTATTCCTGCCGTTGCATTATTTTCCTGTTGTTGATTTCCTTTATTTTCCCCCTGTTGTTTTTGTGCTCTTTGCACATAAATTTGTTCTTTCTTTTTGACTTTTTAACATTATTGGTTTCATTGTCTCTTTGTAGGATAGCTTCAAGAATTTTCGTAAATTCTTATCTGTAAGAATTTTGCGAATTTTATAAGGGGAATAGCTAGGTCAAATGGAATTGCTTAATCTCTTAATGAACCATTTTTTTTTTTTTTTTTTTTTTTTTGTACTGGGAATTGAACTTGGGTCCTTGTGCTTGCAAGGCAGGCCACCGAATCGCTGAGCTACATCCCCAGCCTGATTCACTGATTCTTTGTAGTGATGTTTTAGTCTCTATTTTAATAACTTCTCTGATCTTTCAAATTTACAATATACTGCATTGGTAGTCATGAGTTTTTTGAGGTTCTCCTTTTCACAGAAATACATCATTTCTTTGTTATACTTGAAGGAAAATTTTGAAGAATGCAGCAATGATTGGAAGATGTTATCTTCTAGAACTCAGAATACTTCACTCCAAGGCCTCCTGGCCTTTTAGGTTCATATAGAACCTAAAAGTTATTGGTCAGTTATTTGGGTTTGGATTTGCCTCACCTACCTATATGTTTATTTCTTTTCTTACATTTGAGAAGTTGACTTTAGACTATGATTTATTACATCAACTTCTTTGAACAGACTTTTTATTTTTTTTCTCATTGAATTTATTGGTACATTTTAGGTATACAGTACAATTACATTCATCATGGGGATCTTGTACCTTTACATGACAGGTCTTGGATCTCATTTTTCCCCTTATGCCTGCCCTTCCTTCACCCCCTCCTCCTTTGCCTATTTAAAAAAAGTTCCATTTTTTCATTTTCTCATATCTTTTTCTTTTCCCTTATTTCCTTTCCCCTACCCTTCCCAATTCCCCTATACCCTTAGCCCTTTTTTTTTTTTCTATTTAACGTTGTCAGTTATGCCATTAGGATCTTATATACAATCATAGTTTTTCACACCAGAGAAACTATTTGCTATTTACATATGAGTGACTTTTTTATTTCATTTAAGAGTATGGCCTCAGTATGCATCCATTTTCCTATGAATGACTCTAACTTCTCATTCTTTATGGCTGAATAGTATTCCATTCTATAGAAAAACCACATCTTCTTTATCCAGTCTCCAATTGATGGGCAATTGGCATGTTTCCAAGTTTTAGCTATTACAAACTATGCTGCTATAAACATGGGTGCACATATATCATAGTGATAAGATTCTTTTAATTGTTTTGGAAAGATACCCAGCAGAGGGATGGCTGGGTCAAATGGAACCTTTAATCCTAGTTCTTTGGGTATCTCCATATTGATTTCAAGAATTGTTGCAAGAGTCTGCACTCCCACCAACAATGAAGAAGGGTTCTTTCTCCCTGCAACCCCACCAACATTTGTTATTGGTTGATTTCCTGATAGCAGCCATTCTTTCTGGGGTGAGGTAGAAATCCAGTATTGTTTTCATCTGCATCTCTCAAATGACCTATGATGTGGAACATTTTTTCATATATTTAATTGATGCTTTTACTTCTTTCTCTGAGAAATGCCTGAACATTCTTTTTAGACTTGACAAGAAATACAAGATCAGCTTTTCCAAATTTCCAGCTTTTAAACCACAGATAGTGGAGCTTCACAGCCTTCATAATACCACAATCTCATTCTACATTAGGGGTGGAAAATTTTTGAAAAAGTAATTGTGGTTCAAAAGAAAAAAGCATATCAGTATAATTTCATTTCGGATAAAAAAATAGATTGTACTCATATGCCTCACTTGTTTCTACATACACAGAGCTACCTCATGTAATACATATGGTACTTTTCTAATAGGCAGCTTCAAGGAGGACGTCTGACTTCAGACCAAAGAAAGTGTTAGTGTAAGTGAATTATGCACTTGATGAGATACCAGAAGGATAAAACTTTTCAATAGTGATGGCATTTTACACATACAAATCTGAAACGGCAAAATAGCTTAAGGCTATTTATTATCAAAGCTATTTGTTTCTTCAGGAGTTATTTGAACTGCAAAAGATTTATAACTCTGAAGTTTATTAGATAGCTTAGGCTCAAAGGAAGAGAGAAAAATGTAAGACTGCATCACGGTTTTAGATGACACAAACTTCATTTATCCAATGTCTAATATTTAGCAAATATACTCAGAGCATGTGTAGAATTGTTTATTATTATTTATTATCATTTTCACTCCTTTTACGCAACATTCATTATAATTAAAGTGCTTTAATATTGAGAATAATTAATTATAAACTGTAAAATTATTCCATGTAATTGTGAATTATTTTAAGAAAAAAAAAATGAGCCTAAAGAAGCTTCTCTCGCCCGACAGTGAAAAGCTCAGTTTTCAATGGGCCCAGAAGCCCCTTGGCCAACAATGAAGAGCCGCAAGAGCAAGGTGAAGGCAGCGAGGAGGAGGGGGAACAAGTGGTCCCCATGAACAAGACGTCAGTCACCCGCCAGGCGGATTTCGTTCAGACCCCAATCGCTGGCATTTCTGGCGGACACATCAGGTCGGTGGTTTACCAGCAGAGTTCAAAAGAGTCTGCCACCCTGCAGCCATTTTTCACGTTGCAGCTGGATATCCAGTCTGACAAGATACGCACCGTACAGGACGCGCTGGAGAGCTTGGTGGCGAGAGAATCTGTCCAGGGTTACGCCACCAAAACCAAGCAAGAGCTGGAGATAAGCCGGCGGGTGACTCTGGAGAAGCTTCCTCCTGTCCTTGTGCTGCACCTCAAACACTTTGTGTACGAGGAGACTGGCGGCTGCCAGAAGCTGGTCACTACCCCATGGACTTGGAGATCAGCAAGGAGCTGCTTTCTCCAGGGGTTCAAAACAAGAATTTTAAGTGCCATAGGACCTACAGGCTCTTTGCAGTGGTCTGCCATCACGGCAACAGTGCCACGGGCGGGCACTACACCACGGACGTCTTCCAGATCGGGCTCAATGGCTGGCTGCGCATCGACGCCCACATCTTCAAGGTAATCCAGCAGTACCAGGTGGTGAGGCCTGCAGCCCGGCGCACCGCCTACCTCCTGAATTACCGCCGCGTGGACCTGCTGTGAGCCCTGTGCCGGCTGTGTGCCTGATCTGCTTCGTAGAGCTCCAGCTCACCGACTTCCTGCCTCTTTAGTGGCTCCTTAGGGAGAAACTCTCCCGTCTGCAAAACGGCTACCATGGAAAGATGCCGTGGGATTTGTGTGCAGCATAGTTTACGTTGACGTCTTACTTCCAATCAAAATCATTTGGTTGAAACAGACTGTTGCTTGATTTAAGAAAATACACGAAAAACCCATAATTCTGAAATGATGCTGATTCATGATAGAAGAAAGGGAAACTTGCATTTGATTCCCAGTCTAATTGCTTAGTAGAATAAATCTACACCAGCAACTCTTGTAAATTTGTGAAAATGAATTTTATCTTTCCTTAAAGAATAAATTTTTTAAATCCACCACACTTTCCTCCCCTACCCTTTAGTTTTTGATAAATGATTAAAAAATGAGTCAGTTATCAGAGAAGAAATAGTTCTTACTTCAAAAGAAAAATAAACACAAAATAGAAGTTGCTGGTTCCTAACAGGAAAAATACGTTTTAATAATTATGCAACGAGACACTGCTTACGTACGTGTTGCAGATCAGACCTTTAGAGTTAAACAATGTTAGTCAGCATAGATGGGTGATTGTAACTTTAATGCCATTGAAGATCTCAAATTGCTCTCATGCTCCAGTGTACACATTATGAAACGAAGTGCAGGTGAAACCCTGAGGTTGGTAGTTCCTGGCGCCCGCACACATTCTGCTGTCTGCCCCTCTGATGCTGTGCCCTACTTGTGCACAGTGATACCCAGGAGTATGAAGTTGTAGCCCATCAATAAAATCACAGAGTTGGTTTCAAAGAAAAAGAAAAAAGTGTTTACAAATGCAAAGAGCTAAAATTTTCTTCTAAGATAATGTAATGATCATAACAAACAAAATTTTATCATGACCACTAATATTATAATAAAGGAAAGCAAATAATAATGCAATAACAATATCTTAAGTGGTTAAATTTATATTAAAGATCTGATGTTTTCTCAACAACAATACTTGAAAATTTGATAGGAATGCAAATTTTTGGGCTCCTTTCACATTTAGAGAATCAGCAGACCTGACACTGATACACAATAGTCTGTGCTATATAGGCTTTCCAGGTAATTTATGCATACTAACCTTGGATACTACTAATTTACTATTATTATCCTCTCATGAGTAATGCCATGATGTAAAATAACAACAAAAAAAATAGTAAATAAATGCTGGAACATCCTTGAATTAAAGCTCATTAGTTGTTTACCTGAAATTCAAATTTAATTCAGTGTCTTATTTGTCAACTGCCAATTTGTGGGCATATTACAAATTTAATGAAATCTTGGCTGAGTCTATGTAGGTCTCCTAACAAAATTCCGTGGACTGAGTAATTTAAGAACGAAAAGTTTTCTTACTATTCTGGTGATTAGAAGTCCAAAATTAGGGCATTCAGCATGGTCAATTTCTGGCAAGGTCTCTCTTCCTGACCTGCTGATGGTTGCTACTTGATACATTCTAACATGGGAAAGAGTGGAAAAAAGCTCTCCAACGTATTTTCTTATGAGGGCATTGATCCTGCTATGAGTGGCCCATTCTTATTACTTAAGTGAAATCTCATTTGTTTTGAAAGGTCATGTCTCCAAATATCATCACCATGGAAGTTAGGACTTCAGAGTATGAATTGTGATGGAAACACTGTTTAGTCCATGGGAAGAGGTATATTTATGTCTTGTGAATGAGAAAAGTGGTGCAAATTTCCCTTAGAAATTTGATCTAAAGAAAGTAAGTGCTGAAATAACCTAACAAAATGCAACATTTCTTAGAAAAGTTCTAGATGATTTTGTTTTGCATTTTTGGCATTATTTGAAGTTCTAAACTGTTCAAAAGTCACTGTAGCCATTCTATCAGTATCTCCACTAACAAAGTTCATGTTTTACTTTTTTATTGGTTTTATTGTTGTTACATTTTAGGTATACAGTACAGTTACATTCTTTATTGGGATCTTGTACCTCTACATGACCGGTCTTGGTTCTCATTTTTTCATTCATGTTTTAAATGTATAAATTTTTAGCAATTTTGTTATTGTTAGCTTCCTTTTTTCCCCTTTGGTATTAGGGATTAAACTGGGACCTTATGCTTGAGAAACTGTGGCACCATTGAGCTTATTTGCTTGTTTTGTTGTTATTTTGTTGTTGTTGCTATTGAACAGGATTTCAATGTGGTGCCCATTTAAAGCTAGCTTAAAGTGTTTAGTATTTCACATAATATCTCTCAGACTCTCGGACTCAAATTCTGGACTAGCTGCCATTATAAATATGCGGCACACTGCTTTTTATTTTTTTTCGTATTTTGTGATTTGTTTAGAAAATCTGAGGTTCACCTATATGTTCTTTCCCTCCTCTCTTAATTACCACTATTGTAACAACTTTTGTTAAGGTGATATACTTCCTATGACTGATAAGTCACTATTGATATGTTATGATTAATTAAAAGTTCATAGTATTTATTGACTAGGGTTTACTCTTCATATTACATAGTTTCTGGGTTTTGATGGCTATACAGTAGAAAAATTTCAGATATCCAAAATGAGTGTTTTGAAAGAGCAGTATCTTTCATTTTTATTAACACCAAAGTAATTACTATAGTTCAGCATTGGTGGCTGGATTCTTATTTCATTTTATATTTTACATTTTTTTCTGAGTAAATTCAAGGGTCTAGATTTTATAGAATCTAGAGGTTATTTTTAATCTTTCAAAATTCAACCCAAAGATCACCAACTGAAATTCAATGAACCACAAAACATAAATATAATTAGAAAAGACAAGAAATCGGAATCTTCTTCTGTGGGTCTCTTGGTAACACTAAGAGGCATAGAGGAAAAATTTATGCTACCTTTCAAATAGCAAGGCAATCTTTTTTATTTGCTTTTTTCAAGCACTAGCATCTGGTTAGTTACATTTCAGCTAAATTTCATGTTGTTAATAGTCTGTTCAAAACACTCACATCTAAGATTTCTTTCTGTAGCCTTGTTTGATGCTGGCATTTGTTCTTAGTCCTTTGATGGGTTCATTAATTGGATCATTTTACACTAATCGAAACTGTTTGCCAAACAGTTACTTTGACAATTTGAAATGGAATTTCAATTTTGTCTTGCATGCAGGCTGTCTGTATCAGAACAAATAGAAGACAATTGATATGTATTTTCATTCTTGCAATTTCTAAATATATTGGTTTTATGGTTAAATGTTCACAATTCACATGCTTTTCTAGATAATAGGAAATATTAGGTATAAAACTTACTTGTATTTGTAAAACTTTCTAGTATTTCTGGATATAAACTATATATACACATTTGAATACTCTGGTTTTTA